CAGGAAAACCTCCCAGGTGGGAGTTGGCCGCAGTTCCCAGAGTCCAAGCCATTTTCCATCCCGGCTGTTCTCCTCCAGACGGTTCAGGCCCGCCGGGATGGGGAAAGGGGAAAGGTTGCGAGTCAGGCACCCGGGGGCAGGCGCAGGTTGCGGCTCGCTGCTTCTTTCTTGGCCTCCAGGTCAGTGAAGTCACCCCCTCCAGGCCTTGGGTGCAGACACCAGGTGGGAAGACCCTGATGAAAGTTTTGGGGCCTCGGTCCAAGCCGCCTTACTGTGTAGCCTGGGACACACGGTTACCCTCTCTGGGCTATCGTGGGATCAGCAGGATCAGGAAGGACCCCCAGGTGTAGGATCCCACAGTCAAGTTTTTAGGGTTCACAGACCCCTCAGGCCAGGCCCAGGCCAGCTAACTCTGCCCTCACCAGAAATAACCCCGAGGACCTCACGCCGACCCTAGACTGTCCACCTAGTCTCTCTGGGCCTCGTTTTCCAGGACTGCAGCATAAAGACATCAGTCTGCACTCCACATATGTATGTATGGACACACCACACACATGTGCACACCTGCGCGCACTCTCTCTGACGTCCCGCCCAGGAAAACAGCTTGAGCAAAGGCCAGGAGGCTGGCAGGTGGACTGAGTAGGGCGACCGGGGGGTTGGAGCAGAGGCTGTGAGTGAATTGCGATCCGCTCTCTCCCAGAGGAAAACGCTTCTTAGGGCCCTTCCTGGGCTGAGGACCAGGGAAGGGACAGCAGGGAAACAGGTGGCGTTGGGGAAGGTTAGGACCCTCCACAGTCCCTGGAGGCCCTCGGGAAAACCCTTGTCCCCACATCCTTTGCACCCATTTCACTGTGGGTAAGCCTGAGGCCCACCCAAGGTCACTCATTGGGGTGCTCATTCCCAGGCTCCCAGCCCTCTGCATTGCTCCCCACCCTGAGTCACCCAGGCCCTCAGGCTGGTCTCCCTCTCTGTATAATGGAGTGAGGGGAGCGACTCCCACATCTGAGCTGGCCTGCGCCTGCTGGGGCCCTTCCATCTGGCCTCCCTTTCCCCCAAACCTTGGGCTCCCCAGGCAGGCTGTGCTGAGCTGTTAGCCCCACAAGGCTGCCTCACGTGGCTGCTATTAGCGTGTTAACTAACGGGCTGAGCTGAATGGAGCCGCTGAGCTAGGGGAGGACGTGCGGAATGGGGACAGGGAGCGTGGGGATGGAGAGTGTGGGGTGCTGGCTTCCTCCTCGCACAGTGGGACCCGTGGTTCCTGCCACAGGGGGTCGCTGTGAGGACGCCTGGAGGGGCTGTGGGGGCCTGGCGCACTGACACAGAGACCCTGGGGACGGCCTCACGGCTGCCGGGCCCTCGCTCTGCCCTGAGCTCCAGCAGCAGCGCTCTGCGGACGCCTGGGCCACCTGCCAGTCGTCTCTGCCCAGACCTGCAGGCTTGGGTGGACGCACTGCTGGGCTCAGGCTGCAGGCGTGGGGTCCTCGCGGTCTGGGAAGCGGGGTGTCGGGAACAGGAGTGACGTCCCCACCTGCTCTGCTCCCCCCACAGAGATCCGAGAGGCCTTCAAAGTCTTTGACCGCGACGGCAACGGCTTCATCTCCAAGCAGGAGCTGGCCACGCCCATGCGCTCGCTGGGCTACATGCCCAACGAGGTGGAGCTGGAGGTCATCATCCAGCGGCTGGACATGGCCGGTGAGCGCTGCCCGTCGTCCCCCCCCCCCCCGCCCCCGCCGGCTGTCTCCTCACCCTTCACCGGGGGGCTGGGGCTGGGGCACAAACCATGGGGGACTC